GTCATTTTTGCTTGTGAAATTCAGAGGGTAAGGGTGATAGGGGTTACTCCATCCCACCCACTTCTTCTTTCACTTTCAGTAACACTCATTAGGAGAAATCAAACTTCAGTTTTATGGTATCACTGAACAAATGGCTTGAATGATAGGGGAAAAATTTTGGAGAATTTGGAGTAATACTAGTTGATTATTAAAACTAATTGTACCAATTTCTCACCTTATACAACCCAAATACAAGTTCCTAATATACTGCAGCATCTAATGTCTTCTGATAAAGGGCTGGGTGAGTAACTTATCCTGTCCTAGCTTAACCAGAGTCAAAGCTTGGAAAAATCCTTCGTAAGGATTTGCCTTTGGATTTGGACAAGAATTTCTGAAAGAAGTTTTATCTGTGTACTCTTTATTAGAAAATTTCTTCCATGTTACCTGAACAAGGTACAAGCAAATGCAGGACTATAAAACAATGCTAGTCTGGTAGGAGGTTCATCACAAGGCCCAGTTGATACAACTAACGCATCTAATATGTGATGACAGAAGCATGCTTTCCCATTTCAGGGAAACAGGAGTGCTTGATTCCAGTATTGTTAACAACAGCAAACATGTGGGTTGTGTGTCTTTCTGAAAGCACCCAGAATTGCTGAGAGTGTGTAGACTTCAACAGAGGAGAAGGGAAGAGGAAAGCAGCTGTTCCCCCTACCTTCCCATTACCCAAGCGGAAAAGTGAATTGCTGTACTTCAGCCTCAAGGATCATAATTATGAATCAAGGACTTTGATGGTGATATTCCAAAATAAGAACTAGCCATTTTCAGTCTCAACATTTATCAGCAGCTTGGACACAGTCCAATTCTTCTAATTGAAGAAGGCAACATCTGTGGTCACAACATCCAGGTCATTCCTTGCACGGTCATCAGCACAGATGCATTAACACATATACTGGACTACCCCTCACATTTCTTACTCTCAGCTTCTCTCTCACCCTGGATGAAGTCCTCAGGTTGAGAGCCCTGACTGAGACAGCCCTCCTGCAGTCTTGGGATTGTGCCACAGTGCTGCCAACTAAATGAAAAGTAAGGGGAACCTTGCAAGGACTCTGTTTCAAATAAATGACACCATGGTCATTTCAGTGAACATGCAACTTCTGGAGGCTTTCCTCACCCTCCAGCATCCTGGCTTCACATCTCAGACTGGCATGCCAAATCTGAACGTTTGTCTGAACATGTTAAGGGATATGTGACAGCCTCAGTCGAATCACAACATTACTGGAGAATGAGGTACATCAACACAAAAATACTATGAGGGTGAGATCACCTTCTCCTCAGTCAGTTCAGCATAGGTCCTGCCAAATTCTGTGCCACACAGCTGCAAAAAACCCAGAAGCTTTGTGTAAAAAGTGGCTACTGAACATGCCCACATGCTGCCAGTATTTTAGGTGTTGCCTGCCCCCAATTACAAAAGCATCAGATGATGCATCAGAAGGGCTGTGCCCAGGTGCCCAGCTACAGAATCAATGTCCTGCTTCATTTGTGTTGAGTTGCTTGTACAGACATGACCCAAGTTCAATATAACCACCACTAGTAATCAAACGGAAGTTGTGAGAAGAAAACATAACAGTAGCTGCTTTTGCCTTGATGTGATCACACACATAGTTAGATTCCCACCATACTGGAAAAGTTAAACCAAGATGACAAGTGTCATCTAAAACAAGATGGTAAGTGTGTTAAGTGTCTCACTGCACCCAAATGCCTCTAACACAGACACAGTTACGCTTTACACAACACTAACTTAAAGCATCAGCCTGGACAGATTTTATTATATTTAAAATATTTTATGCCATTTCTCTCTAAGAAAATCATTCAGAACAGACAGCAATATTTTTATATCAGCACACGAGGATTTCTAGCTCAGGTGACGGCTGTGTAGCATGGTCAGACATGGAAATCGTATTTTCTTATTTCATACAGAAACATTGAAACTGCTTTCTTGGTTTTACCCCCAAGGTAAATTGGTTTGGAAAGTCTGCAGAAGATCTGTTTAATTTTTCAAGATCACAGTAGAACAAGGAAAATATTTTTCAATGAAAAAGAAATTTAAAAAGAGCAGAATAAAGGGGTGAAGGCTCCAAATTCAGCACATGCCTCTATGGGACGGAGGGAGGGAAGGAAGGAGGGAGGGAAGGGAAGGGAGGGAAGGGAAGGGAGGGAAGGGAAAATACACTTGAACAGCCTGAGGAAATCATATCCTGAGCACCACAGGTATTGAGAGAGATGCCTCTCCTTTTCCAGGCTTAGAGCCATGTTGAGGGAATATGTGTGGAAAAGGCTGCAATAGCTTTGAAATATACAGAGTTTTAACCTGCAAACTTCAGAATCAGAAGCATTTTTTCTTAACATCAGAAACACAGAAGTACTGCTAAGGTTCTCAAAAAAACCAAAAAACTGGATTTCATCATTGGCAGTTCTGTGCATTTGTTTGTATCTGTACACTGCAATTGACCATAGCTCACAACACCTCAAAAGCACAAGTGTAGTCATTGCTACGGGTAAGAGTTGCAAAACCAGGAGTTAAGAGAAGAAAATATATTTATGGCATTAAGGGGAAAAAAATTATATATGCTATGCTAAAAGGGATGTTCACTAAGCATTAGACAGACACTTCATTCACTGTCAAAGAATTTGAAATACAAAGAATTGATGTATATGAAATGTAAAATACTGGAGAGGAGGAGGGAGAGTGAGGGATTTATCCACATATCTTTCTAAGTAGGAATAGTATCTTAGCCTCAAATCTCTGAGCTCAGGGTTTATGAATAGAGGTCATTAGAGGGCTTTAAGTTAGCCCCACTGCTCCCTTCAAAGTGTGAAAATTAAAATTAGCTATATTGCAAATAACCAACCCTTTTCAATAATTACTACCATGCTACTGCATCTGGAGATATCTGAATGACATATCTCTCCATTACCAAAAGGTAACTGCATTTTCATTTTGACTAATATAATTTTAAAAACCATCATACCAGGTGCCTTATATTTGGAAAATCTTGAAAGCTTTTAGATGTACAAACACCCTTCCCACCACTCTTGGCTTATCTTTTATTTACCCTACTGGGTATAAAACAATTGATGCTTCTTCAAAGCAAGGACTTCCCAGCTGATTAGCTGTGCTGAGCTGGCTAAGCTTATTAAAGGTGATTAATGCATTCAAGTATTTTTCCCCTTGCTTGTTAGTTCAATTTCTTGCTCATTATGCTACTGGTCTTTTTATATTAAAACAGACCACCTGGATAGCAAAGAACTTCATAATCTTGGTCCAACAAGATCAACACCTGTTGTACATGTAATTAATCATAAGGCAGTGCATGGTAGTATTCAGTTAAAAAACTAAGATTATCTAACAACAGAAGCAATACACCACATTGGCAATCAGCATTTGAATCTTTAAAATGCAGTTTAAAAAAAAATCAGAGAAGTGAGTCAGTACAAAGGGGCTCATAATTATTCTCTCTCCATATTTAGGAGTCCATATGGGATTTGTGACGTATAAAAGTCAGCATACAATTTTCTGATGAAAAATTCAGTTCTAAAAAAATTCATATTCTTCTCAAGGCTGAGAAAAATGAAATGGTCTTTCTGTCAATGACATTTTCACTCTACACAAAGAAATCAAAGAGGGTTTGGATATTGTATTACAGAGAGAACCCAGAGGTTCAATATAGTTTACTAGTCTGAACACGGATTGAGAACCACAAAGTCCAATCATATCTCTGTCTTAAACTCACTGTGTGGTTTGGCAAGTAGCTTAACTACTTTGACTGTGTTTCTTCATCTGCACAATGTGGGAAAAAATACTTACAAAGTTGATTAGAATTTTACAGGATTTAATGTATGTAGCATGCTTCCAAATGCTAAAGCCTCATATGAGTATTATTAACTTAGCTATGGTGCATTAAAGTGGAAAATACATGTCCTTTTTAACAGTGAAAAATCCACAAGGAGGAGATTCACTGTAAAAGATAAGACCATAAAAATTACTATTGTTTGTTTTTTCTAAAGAATTACAACAGCACAATACATACAGGAAAAATATAAGCCATATAAATACCAGCAAATGAATAAAGCACCTTGTACAATTACACAGACAGAAAAAAAAATGCATCCTAATCCTAAAGCTCAGGCCATCAGCCTAATACATTTTATATGCATTTGACTGAATTTTAATACTGTAAGATTCAACACACTGTTAAGGCAGAGTGAATGAACAAGAACAAAAGGTAAATTAGATCTTATTAGCACTGTAAAGGTGGTTAAGACTCACCAAAACAAATTGTACTACGTACTATCTACAGTTAGGGGTGGGAACTGAATGGTGAATTAAGCTGAATACAGAGAAAATGCTCACAATTAACAGTAGCTGTGATGCCTTTTTCCTTCAGGTTCCTCAGGGATCAGGAGCATTGTGGGATTTATCACATTGTGACCTTCAACTGAGCAGGTGCAGAGGGATTCATACCAAGGTTGCTGGCTCCTTTGTAGCTAACAGCACACAGGTCTACCACCTGCATGAGTTAAGTTCATAAATCTCTCCTGTTAAATGTGCAGCCCACACTGCCAAGTTAAATAGTCCAACTGAAAATTCATTCAGACTTAGTCAGACAATACAATATTTAGTGCAAAGCGGAAAAGTCCCAAGACAAAAATGCTCTTCCTCTATTGTTTGCTTGTTCTCATCCATCCTCCATCCTGACAATTTTCTGATCTCTAAATTCTTCACTCTTTCCAATTGCTTTCCTCAAGATTTTATTTGTCACCAGTAGATGAGAAGAAATGGATACAAATTATCTCTAAAAATATGCATTATATATATATCTGCTGTGAACTTTTTTCTCCCTTCTCTTTTACTTTGTGTGTTTTCTGTTTAAGAAAGCTAAACATACACAAATACATACTTGTCTAAAAGTAAGTAGTTTATTTCAAATGGTTTGATTTCTCTCTTCCAGACTGAGAGAAAGCCTTTAGGTGATATAATAGTATAGGACATATATCATACAAGCTGAGGCAGGCAGAAGGTCCCACCCATTCTTCCTGAACAATCCTCATTGTTATCACCTGCTCTGCACAGAGCTGCAACTGGCTCATTACCACCTCTGCCAAGAGCTAAGGAAGCAAAGGAACCACTGAACACAGGTCCAATGAGAAGACAATTAGAGATACAAGCATACAAGTATCAACCAAGCTTCAGTGATACTGCAACCCACATCATTTTCATAACCTTCCATCTTGCATGCAGGGAAGGGACTGAGGAACTTACAATCAGTCTTCAAGATTTACACACAGCAAGAGTAAACTCCATCCTTTCCACACTGTCCTGTTAAAACTGGAAAAAAAAAAAAAAATCCTCCTAATGACTGACATCAGCAGAGACCCTAGTGCAGATGTAATGAAGATGGCTTCTGATGATCATGTTGTGCCAGACACTCATAGCAAAGATCACATGTGCAGACAGACACACTCCCAAAATTTGACTGATGCAAAAAGTGTCTGGGAATCTAGACAATTCACATCAGTTTCTGCAGATGTCTCACTTGTTATCTTAAACAAAACCATATCAAAAACCTTGGTGTGTTTAATTTGCAGTTGCCAATTTCAGCTTTTTCACTCTCAGCAAGTTATGGCTATGCTGCCAGTGCTGTCTGCTTAATTCAACCCTATATCCATTCAGTACAAACTCACCCTTCTGTGTTTGTGAGAAATAAGCAATGTACATAACATGACAGTGCCTTGACAGTGCCTGCACTTCCTTATTCCTCTGGCCTTCTGAGGGAACAAAAATAACGTTGTCATTCAACTCCCCCCATTCCAAGATTTTTATTATTCTTTAAAATGCACACTGTCACTCAATGGTTACTTTTCTGTCCGTCCTGGATATTGTCTCACTCACCTACGCAGTATTTCTATCTCAGAGGGACTTGGGCTCTCCAGTCACCTTTGACTGTAAGCATTGCCAAGCATGCCAGGAAGTGTGGGTGGACCATGTGCAGATAACACTCAGTTCTGGAAAGGGACACACAAGCAAGTCACACACAGCAATAAATCAATTGCACACCAAACTCCTTCTGGTAAAACCAAACAAGACAATTGTGACATATTATATTAATATATTATATTTTTAAATACTCCCATAACATTACATATAATAAGTGTGATGATACAAGAGATATGCCACTTGAAGTTTTTCAAAGAGATACTGTTTCCTTTTACAGATGGAACAAGAGTTGTTTAGATTTTCTCTGCATCTTTTCCCAGACAGATTTTTCACTTACTGATAAACAAGGGGACAGACAAGGGGAAAATATGAAATATTTGTAAGAGTTTTTTATATTTTCTGCAGAAGTTTAATTTAAAAAATTTCCAGCAAATACTTTGTAGCATTAATATAGATCTAATAAATAATAATAATAAAAACCCTTTGCTTTTGAAGAGAAATTTTTTGAATAATAGCTGTTTAAATTCTACTGTCCAAGCCAGCCTCCTTGTATTTACACTCTGCCTCTGGATAGCTCATTCCCACCTTTGATTTCAAATTTGATACGGTATTTCCCTTTATTTCCTAAACAGCTCTAAACCAGAAAATAAAATCCACACAAATTTTCCTGCCCTGTTAACTAGCCTGAAGACTCTCTCCCAATTACCATCTCATCTAACCTTCCCACTGAACAACTCCCACCTGCCGCTCACTAAACATGCCAGCTCCTACTTTCATGCACCTGAAGCTACAAGAATCTTCTCCCAAGCTGCAGATTGAATGCCAGACAAAATGATGTGGTTGTAATGATGCAATTGCCTGTATGGATGTCAGAGGGGAATGATGAAGAGGTAGAACACCTTACAGCTGGGGAGCACAGCTCCAAAGCAGACCAGCCTTGCAGTGCCTGTAATTCTGCCATCCATGGGATGATTGCTCGGGGTGAGTCGGAGGAGAACACAGAGCTGCCAGTGCAGCCGACTCGGGCATGGCTCTGCAAGCCACCAGCCGTCACACCTGCCATTATGGCCTGAGGATTCAGCACAGGCATCAAGGACTGAGCTACTCCTTCATTTTACAGATGGTTCATTAACTGGGTGGAAGCACATGAGAGCACTTGGAGAGCAATAGGAAGAGGCAAGGGGCAGGAGAATTAGACAAAAGTTGTTTGGCAGCAGCTTCCAGATGAACTAAAAATCACACACAGCAAAAATAGCAAGGGTGTATTTGCCAGCTGAGAGTGGCCACATGCCAAGTTTGAGGTCTTAAAAATTAACTGCTTTTGAACTATACAAGAACAACAACAACAAAGATCTCTTATTTAAGCTCAAAAGATTTTTCATGCCTATCTAAGCTACTAATGAGGAAAAAGGAGGAAAGAAAGAGACAGTATCTTCAGGCAGAGGCTGAGAATCAGAAGAGTCAACCCCTAAGCAATATGTTTGATTATATATTAATATTAGGGTCTTAATTACACTAAACAAAAATGAAGCATACATTTCAACTTCCCTGATAAATAATTCATACACTCTCACATATCCCTACTTAAACTACTCCTCAAAACCAGCTTTTAGGCAGATCCTCTCAGGTCCAAGAATACCAAGGATCAATGAGGGCATTCCCCAACAATTTAGTGTCTGGAAATCCGTCTGGAAATCAGCCCTCACAAAAATTCACATTTACCAATTTTTTTGTAGTGCTTATTACACACTTCTACTTTAAAGGCAAAAAAGTATCTGTACAACATTCAGTGCTTTACTTCCAATGACTTAAGGATGGTGTCAAAAGCTGATACCTCCCCAATGTAAGAACTTAGAGTCACACAGGAATTCCAAAAACCGCTTAGGAACCAGGAGCTGGGCTCTCTGTTTTCTGCTCCTTCTCCCCACCTTTTTTTTTTTTTAGCTACATATTACTTATGTATATTTTTACATTTAAATCATAGAATTATGACATTATGTTTATACATGTGCCCTTCAGAAACCTAAACTTCAGACAATGGATATCATAAATATCCTCAGATTGAGGCAGAAGTATGGCTTGAAATATGGAAAGCTACTGAAAATATTCATTCTGAGGTTTTCTTCCCCATATAAGCAAACACACAATTTATCTATCATATATAAATAAAAAGTTTTAACATCTTGAATTGCTGACCCAAGATGCGAATTCCTAGCAGCTTCTCTTATAAAGAATGTTGCAGAGCCCTTTCCATTTCTACTTTCAGTAAATTTTTCAAGCATTCAAGACATTTTGGATGCTCAGCTGTGATTACTTTGCTAAAATGTAATGCTACATACATTAACGAGTTTAATTCTTGGAATGCAAAAATGGTTTCTCTTTCTTTTTAGCCATAATTTGACAGTGAAAATTGTGAATTTACCTCTCTGCCAAAATAAGTTTACCTTCCAACCAAACAGGGCGTTTCTTCCACAGAAAACCATGAATGACTAAACTATGAAAAATGAAAGTTGGCAGGTAGCCTTTCTGAACTTATGTGCTTCCTGACCCTGCCAGAGAGAGTTAAGCTAGGTCAATATGCAAGTGGGAGAGGAAGGCAAGGATGGGGTGGTTCCAGAAGTGCAGTCTCCTTTCTCCACAGCCAGAGGCAAAGCAGTGCTCTTACAACACATTTTTGAAGATCACTGTGTTGGAGCTGTTTGCGATAGTCAAATATTTCATTTTTCACTTTCATGAGCCCAGAGATGCAAGCACGGGTGCCCAAGCCAGCTTCTACTCTGCCTGGATTTCTCTAGCATACAGTTGATATTCTGCTCAAAAATGATGTGCATGTTGCAACTGCACGACCTACCCCAGCACTGGCTGCATTTCAAAACTAAGCAACAGGAGACATCTCAAAAACCCAGTAATGTGAAGCTTCAGCAGTCCTTGACAGCTTCTGGTTTTGGACAGTTTTCAAATGCAAGGTTCCTGGTCATTCCCTGGAAGAGAGTGGATGAACTCTGGAAATAAAATTCTTCCCTTTCTATAACCTTCTCCCCTTGTTACGGCATATACAGGGTTGTCTTCTTTCTTTCTATCTAAATTGAGATTTCTATCCCTTAAATATCTACTTCACAAACACACATGACTTTTCAGCACATCCCTGCCTCCTCCAGCTCTAACACCCACTTCATTGCAAGCATGACACAGACGTTTAAGGCAAGAGTATACGGGTGCAGTGGGGACAAGAGGCACACCCTAAATCTCACAAGCAGGATGGAGACATGCTCGTGAGATCATTTTCCCCTAACCATGAAGGACAACACCCCAGAAAGCTTTCAGAGCCTTCCAGAAATGGCATAGGGCTGCCCACCACTGAGAAGTCAAAGGAGAGTTTTGATTTCCCACATAATTGACTTGACCCATGTTGCCCACAATCACAGACTTTGTCAGCTGATTTGGTTGTCACTTTTAATTACATATTTGCTGTGGAGAAGGAAAACAAGACTTCATTCTCTCACATCTCTGTTCCTATCATATCAGAGCACTTATCTCTTACTGTGTGCTTACCTAGGCTGCAAGCTAAATATTCAGAGAAGTGTTTTCTTCAGGGTTGTACCTCCTCAAGAGGTAGGTACAACCTCCTAGCACCATACACTTCTAATGAAATTAATGAGATGGTTTGGAAGTTGCCTGTGAGAAAGCTAGAATCTCACCAATTAAAACTTGCTGAACTGGGACTGTGGTGAGTTATGACCAATGTGGAAACTGCCACTACTTGCAATGCAACCTTCTTTCATTAATGTAAATGCATACATTTGAACCGTAGGTTTTTATTACCATGAACAATTGCATAAGCAGAACATTTCACTCTTATTCACTGCCACAGCTGAAACTACCTAAAGAAGTAAGAAATTTCTTACAGCAGGTCAGCATCTAGAGCATCTCCATACCCTCATCATGCAACTTCATAAAAACTAGGGAAAGAGAAATAAGTAACATGAAGATTTAATTTATGGAAGTGGATTATAATCTTCTCTCTTAACTATTCTTTCAAAGAGTATTTCCATATATCTAGGAGCCAGGGACCTCAAAGTACTGTAGCAATTTGTGGGTCAACATCTCCAAGGCTTGGCCACCTCAGTCAGAAGTTTAACATTCTAAAAAAGCATCACCACACTTGTTTTGTGTTTAGCAAGTCCCCAGAAATCCATCCTTGCTATAACATGGAATAGCCATGGCTAAATATGGTTCTGAGGTGAATTTGGGACGCATTTCCCAATATTTTGCCCCAACTCCATTCCTGAATGGTGCGAAAGAGATGTACGTATATCATCTTCAGCTTATTCGGGTGTGCCAACATGGTGACTCTTCCCTCCTCTACAGCTCCTAAAATAATTTTTAAAAACAAGAAAATTTGGGGGTTTTCCTTTCCCCACAGTCACTTCCCACACAAATATTCTGAGAAGACCTACCACTGGGACAAAGGATCAGCCACCCAAAAGTGACATATAACAAGTTTCATTGCCTGGACAAGGGGAGAAGAAGATGGGCTAAAGCACAGCTTCATGGACACCTTGGATGGCAGCAGGGGAATCCCCCAGACTGACACTATTTCAAACAGTGGCAATCTCTGAAAACATCTCAGCAAACACCTGATGAAGAAACATTCACATCATGAGAATGTAGCTGCTCTCTGCCACCACTTAAGTGCAGTTGTCCAAGCATTAACCTGATGACCAGTTCTCCTTCTTACAAGGAAAGGAAACTAACAAACACACTTCCCAGGTATGGAAGGAGTCTTCTGGTATATCCTCAAGATTTCCTAACTTCTTTTTTGCAGGTTTCTTTCTTTTAATCATGTAGCAGCGATTAGTTGGAGACTGTTTTCTTGCTAGAGTAAAACACATAATTTACTAAAGAAGTTTCAGTCCATTGCAAGTTGTCCACAGTCACGTTTGTGGCTTTCTCAGCAAATTCTTTACGTGAAAAATAATCACACCCATAGGCAGCTTGTGCGCAGATTGTTCAGCAACTGATACTTAAGTCTAGTTGGTCAGTTTGAGCAGACCAATTTTTGCCTTTT